AGTATAGCTGGCTGACCGAATGTGTTAGCAAGAACTCATGCTTGATTAATGATTATCCTTCCTGGGGCTGACTTCAAGATTCAGTTCAAGTGCTACTCCTATACAAAGCCTTTATGACTCTCAGTTGTTAGTGCCATCATTCCAAAATTACTGTGTAACTCCTTTGAATGTATTTTTGTATTTACTTCTCTGTTTACTTGTTGTTTTGCCTCTATAAAATATAAACATCTTGAGATCAGAGATGGCTTTATTTTTTGTCGTTTTATCCCCAGTGCCTAGCACAGTCTGTTGCACATAGTAGGTGCCTAATAAATGCTTGTTTAATGAATGGGTAAATAACCTATAACTAAACCAAGAGGAAAATCTAAAAACTTAGGGACTCTGTTAGCTTCCCAGAGGCATGACATTAAACCAAGCACTGCAGGTGTTGAAAAAAAAGTGTTGTTTCCTCCCTTCTTTTTATAACCTTCACTAACAAATACTCAAGTTTACCAAAAGCATAGCATCTGAGGCTTCTGACCCTTCCCACTCTCCTATAGGGGACCTTAGTATGGTCACATGCATGCCTTGTTTTCTTTGCCCTCTATGGGCCTTTTGATGGTCTCATGGTTCCTCAAATCCTATCATTCCTTCAAGTGTAGCTATGGCAAGTTATATAGTCAACAAGGTGGGGAAGTAGACATTTTCTTCAGTCCCCAGTAACTCTCAAATGACAACAACAATAAATCACTTAACCCTGTTTGCCTCAGTTTCCTCATCTGTAAAATTAACTAAAGAAGGAAATGGCAAACCACTCCGGTATCTTTGTCAAGAGAACCCCAAAAGGGGTTGCAAAGAGACAGCCACAACAACAAACATGGAATAAAAGGAAATTGTAGCTGTGTGACCCTGGGCAAGTCACTCAACCCCATTGCCTAGCAAAAATTACCAAAAATAAATAAATAAATAAAAGGAAATTGTGCACAGAGACCTTTCTAGATCAAACTATTGAGAAGGTAAATTTTACCCTTAGTGATTGCCTCTACCTCCTCCTTTTATCATATCTATTGAACCTTAAGTCTTCCTCCCATCCTCCACCACCTTCTGCCATTTTTACCATGGTTATCTATTGTTGACATTGTGCTACCCCAAAATTTATTAATAAGAATAAGAGGCAAGGAGACAGATAATTTTTCTCCTCCGAGGGTAAGATGTCCAGGGAGGTATGGTACTGTCTCAAAGGAGTGGTCCTCATATGCACTAACTCCCAATAGATTAGATCCATTCTAGGGTCTCCAACTCCAATTAAAGAATACATCTTCCTCCCACTGAAGTCCTCTTCATTGAGACCTCCATTGAGTGAATATTCGCCTCCCCCCTTTACTCCTATATCAATGCCATCCTGTGCTACCTTGCCCATTTTCTTGTAGTCTCATCTTCTTCCTCTCCTCCCAACTCTCTACTGAAAATTGGCTACTGTGTAGAAAGAGCACTAATTTTATTCTGGAGTCATTGGATATATCCTTGCTCTACCACTTAATACTTGTGTGACCTGAACAGATCACTTAACTTTCCTGAGCCTCAATTTCTTCATCTGTAAAATGATGGGTTTGGACTAAGTGGTTCCTTCCTGGTCTCTCTATATGATCTCATGCTCAATCAGAAGCCCAAATAGGTAGTGTGTTGGAAAGGACAAGATTCATGCACAATGATGGATGGTCCACTTACTGGAAGAAGTCCCTCACAAAAGCTGTACTTTTGTATGATAGTGGCCCAGGTCTCTTTGAGCCCAGGTCCCCTTCACTCACCTATGACACAATCATCATTTCAAAATCAATGACATTGATAGCCTAGGGACAATGAAGGTATGTTTCTTCTCTTCACATGTGCCCCCACCATGTGAGTAGGCCCCACCACATTTGTACCATGGCCATATGTGTTTGTTGTGTATATGCTCTGATCACACATGTTTCCTAGATCTATGCCCCTCCATTCATGTTTCCTTTATATGTCTGCTTTTCCCCACTGATGGTTTATGTAATTTTAGGAGATTATGCCCCAAGTTTATGGGAGAAATGTTTTAGTACTTCTTTTCTCACTACGTCAATTCATCTAATGTCTTTGCTTTAAACTAATCATGTTATCTCCCTCACATTAGTGAGAGTTTGTGATCTATGGTTTTTGATTGGATGAGGCTGCATCCATAAAGTATCTTGAACCTCAGATAGCTTATCTAAGGGAACTTGTGTGTGTGTTTGAGTGGCAGGGAGAATAGGACAGGACTGCCCTCATATGTGACAAAGATAAGGGATACAATTAAATCAACAATCTAACTTTAAGGGAAATGATCGGCATCAATGGTCAAATATTAATAATATCATAAGAATCATTAATGTAAACCAATTGCCATAACAAGGAGACCAAACCAAGCTAGAAACCTCCTCATCAAGCAAATACTTGATTTCCTTGACAAATAGAAAGATATGGCAGCCAATGACAGCACCAGTTGACAACATAAAGTCAATTGCAAAAATCTTATGGAGAAGTAAAGCGAGAGATTACAAGTAGTTTCACCTCAAAAGACAGAGAGAAGCAGTAGAAGGAAAACAAGCTTAAAAAATGCTTGGCAAGACACTCAACTAAGTCTAACACCTTCACCTACTAGGATTAGGCAGTTTCCCAGGAAATATGTCTCCATAACACCATTTTGTGTGTATGCAGAGTGAGACTTGATTTCTGATTGGCTGAGAGACCTCTCTGAGCTAGGTTACAATGAAAGGCACACATTATGGAGTAGAATATTGAGACAGGTGGTTTTTAGAGATGAGAGTGAACTTTTAAAGGGCTATTGTGACTCTTGGAGCCACTGACATATAGGGGAATCTGGCCTCCCAACATTTCCCTTGACTTATAGTGCTTACAACCCTAGAGAATGCTGAGAGCAGACTTTCCTTGGAAAGACCATTCTGACTCTCCTTGGTTGAGCTCAGATGTTTTATCTTGCTCTCAGCTGGAGTCCCTTCACTATTGTACGTTCTTTGATCTATTCTAATCAGTATATCTTCCACAACTTCCATTTACCATTTTACTTGGATAAAAGGATTTATTTGCTATTCACTATTTGTGACAGTCTTTTGTGTAACCAGCATTTGCATTTGAGGAGGGACAGTGAGACTGGTGATATTAAGCTTTAACCTCCTCTTAAGAGTGATTAGGGATAGTGTCTTTTTTTCCTGAGCTCCTTGTATCCTTATCCTTACAGATATTTGAGGTATTGGAGACAAATAAAAATCTAACCCAATAACCTTGGATACAAAGGAGGGAAAGGAACAAACGTCCAACGATGGCCCTACTTCTATTCCCCACAAAAGCAGAAATCAGTCTCCCTTGGAGAGAGGTGGGCCAGAACCCGGATCTGACACCTATCCATGTTACATGTAACCTGAGCTGTGTTTATATTTAGACAGCGTGGATGCTTACAGCTTATACAAGCAAAGTTATCCCAAGATCATTTAAGACTGAAAGAGGAAGGAAGATAAATAATTTAAAATGGAAAACATGTTAAGATTTTTCCAAAAAAGAAAGGAAGGAAATAAGCATTTATCAAGTGCCTACTGTGTACCAAGCACTAAGTACTAGAGCACTAAAGCGCTGAGCATTTTACAAATATCTCATTTGATTCTCCCAACCACCTTGGGTGGCAGGTGCTATTATTAATCCCATTTTACAGTTGAGGAAATTGAGGCAAATGGAGATTAAGTGACCTGCAGAAGATCATACAGCTAGTAAGTTTCTGAGGTCAGAACTCAGGTCTTCCTGACTCCAAGCCCAGGACTTTGTCCCCTCCACCACCTGTGGTGTAGACAACTAAAAGCATAACTAAAAAAACTCCAATATTCTTCAAGTGATGTATATTTGTGAGTCTCTGAAAAATCAGAGTTGAAGATCACATAAAATGAAATGGAGAGGTGCATGGTGAATGTAATCTGACCTCAACACATTTCCAACAAGAATCCTTCAGAAGGAAAGGTCATTTTAAATGGATGTCATTTTAAAGGGAAACATACACATATGCATGTTTATGTGTATATGTGTGCATATAGAATATGTCTATATACACATATATGTACATATATACATACAGAGAGAGAAGTAGAAGAAGAAAGTAGGAAGAAGAAGAAGAAGAAGAAGAAAAAGATGAAGAAGAAGAAGAAGAAGAAGAAGATGAAAAAGAAGAAGAAGAAGATGAAGAAGAAGAAGAAGAAGATGATGAAGAAGAAGAAGAAAGAGCTGATTATATGGTACAAGGGAGGCAGAGCCAATGGATAGCCTGTGTGGTCCACTGATCTTAACACATCAAGAGTACTTGAGGAAGGTCCCTAGTATGTTGGGTGGCAAGCTCATGGGAGGACATGCTCAAGAATTGCCTAGGAGGGACTGGCTATGGTAGGTTGTGATCTGCATGATCAGGAAGAGTGACCACATAAATGAAACCCTTTATCCATTGGTTATCATTGGTTACACTGGAGTATCAAGTATGGAGTCTACCTCAAAGATTTTAAAGACCATGATGATAATAAAAACTGTTGTGATGGTGGCATTATGGGACTGTTCTACTAAAATGAATTGGTTTTCCTAGAGTTGAAAAGGCCACTCCAACACCATAACTAGCACGAAACATAATGGGGCTTTGCCCAAGCAAGTCAACATCTAATGAGGCACCCTTCCTCCTTGGGTCTCATGATCCTCCTTCATCCCACATCATCACATGGTATGACCAGATATGACTGGCCCACCCCATCCCAAAGAGTCCCACAGCCTTTGTGCTCCTATTGCAGGTTTGTCTTCCCCTGGGTCAGACTATAGCCTCTTCCAGTGTCACTATACCAGCAGATTACCCTCTGTATGCTTTCTCCACACCCCTAACCCCTAACCCAAGGGCAACTATTTTTGCCCAAGGAGAAAATATCCTGAATTACAACTCTGAGTCCCACCACCCCCTCCTCTTTCTTCATACTTACCCAGAAGTTTGCAGGCTTCTTGAATCAGTTTGATTGTGATGACATCATCATATACAGTATATGTCATGAAGGCATCTTGGATTTCTGCACATGATCTGAAATGGAAATAATCGTCTGATTTTTTCAGATTCACCTGAGTTAGGGCCCTAAACTGACTCTTTGGAATATAGCAAAACTCATCTGAGGTTTAGCCCCAGATTCAGAGAATCTTCGACCCTGTAGAATATAGAAAAACTTATCATGGGTGCTGAAATATAAAAATGTACTGGATAATAATTATAGCTGGCATTTATATATTACTTTAAATCTTGCAAAGCACCTAACAAATACTATTTCATTTAATCCTCACAACCACCCTGAGACGTAGATATCATTATTACTACTATCCTCATTTTACAGATAAATAAACTGAGGCAGACAGAAGTTAAGTGAGTTGCCCAGAGTCATACAGCTAGTAAAGGCCAAATTTACACTTAGGTCTTCCTCACTGACATAGTGGGCCTGACTCTGGAAAAGAGGGCCATTTTAGTCTAAAAAATGGCCATCATATTTGATTGGACTTTTGTTGCTTCTTCATATTATTATTTTTAAATTTTAGCCATTGTATCTGTTATTCTTTTGGTTCTGCTTTCTTCATTCTCTGTCACTTGATACAAGTCTTTGCATGTTTCTCTGAATTCATCATAATCCTAACATACTAGGAATATTCTCTATTATATCCTAATAATAATGATGATGATGATAGCTAACATTTATATAGTGCTTACTATGTACGAGGCACATGCTAAGGGCTTTATAATTATTATGTCATTTGATTCTCACAACAACCTGGGAGGTAGGTACCATCATCTTCATTTTACAGATGAAGAAACTGAGGCAAACAGGGATTAAGTGACTTGCCCAGGGTAACACAACTAGTGTTTGAGGTTGGATTTGAACTCAAGTCTTCCTGACTCCAGGCCCAAAACTATGTACTACACCACCCAGCTACCCATATCATAGTTTGTGAAACCATTGCTCAATTGTTGGGCATATATTTTTCCAGAGTTTCGTTGTTGTTGTTATTGTTAACAATGCTGCTATGAATTTTTTTATGCATGGGTCTTTTCTCACTGTCAATAAATTCCTTGGGGTATATCTGATTCCTGTAATGGAATCACTTGATCAAAGTGTATGAACAATTTAATACTTTTCTTCAAACACCCATCTTTTTAACACCACTTATATCTAAGTGATGTCATACGGCTTTAAGTCATGAAAACCCATGATCTCAGAAGAGATCATATTAATGATGCAAAATGTTGATGACATAAAACAGAAAGATCTATCACGAGTGAAAGTAAGCTTTTTGCATGCAGTTTGGACAAAACCAAAAATCACCTGATTTATAATAGACCTATATTAAGTAACCCAAAGGCATAGTATCACTGGATACTTCACTGTAAGAGCAATATTTTTTTTCCAAGAAAGGGAAAGCAGACACCTATGATGAAGGACTATTACCAATGATGACTTACATACAAGAAGTGATATAAAAGACATTATCATAGATACGTATGACCAAAGAAGAGGGTGTGCCAATCATGTAATGAGAGTGAAGGTTAATGATAGCCAGCCTGAGATTTACACCAATATACACAAAATATTGAAAGAACCAGAGGAAGTTGTTCCACTTATTCAATGGATAATCTTTGGGGAATATATAGAAAAGTATGCATAAGAATCACACAGGATAAAAATTTAGGGAAGAATTGCTGTTTGCACCAATGGAAAGTTCATTCACAATGAAGTCATAGAACCATCATAAAAGAATTAAAGTTTGTACTGGATATTGGATAGATTCCCAAAGTGGGTGATGCCATCCCTTGAGGGCACTGGAATGATCTGGGGAGTGGTAGTAGCCTTGGGTGCAATTGGGGGACATTGAATAAAAATAAGGCAGTGGTGGAAGCATAAGGAAAGAAGAGAAGGGAAGAAAATTTTGAAAAGCCATTCGTACATATTTAATCTGTTGTATAATAGAGTTAAAGTTGTAGTTTTTCACAGAAACACACAAAATGCAAGTTATAACTGATCAGTGGTCAAGTCTGCTGACAGGTCTTAACAAGCAAGTGTTGAGCCTGTTGCACATTATCAGAAAGTCCAGCATGCATGGGCAGGAACATGTGCCTATAATGACTTGTTTACAATATAATACTATATGGTTACATGATGTAATATTGCATCATCAAAATTTCAATGCAGGAAACAACTCACAAATTTACAATAAATTATTAAATTTAAGACGTGTCATTTTAAAATATTTAATATATTTTTGAAATGATGCAAATTTTAAAAAAGAGTTAAAGAAAGTAGATTTCCGAGGGGACATTGAGTAATCTTTTTGAAGAGTGGATGGTAGGCCAAATAAGTTTGGAAACCTCTGGATTAGAGCTAAAAAATGACCTGAGAGGTCATTTAGTCCAACCCCCTCATTTTACATATTAGGAAACTGAGACCCAGGGAGACTGAGTGACCTGACCAAAGCACATAGACAACAAATAACAGAGCTGAGAATTGAAACTAGGTCTGACTCCAAAGCCCATGGTCTTTCCATAGTGCCATTTTGTCAATACAGAGGGACCATGTAGTTCTGTAGAACATGACTTCTAACTACAGTGAAGCATTCTCAGTAGTTCAAGAGCTAACAACAGCATCATTTAGTGTGAAATCCCTGGAGTATAACCTGATTCAACACACAGTACCAAGTACATTACCAAAAGGAAGGCCTTATTCACACTAGTTCACACCTCTAATTGAGTATTCTCACCTGATCAAGATATAAGGGGATAGCCTCTTGTCATTGATTTTAAGTGGGATGACTTGTTAATTACTTTAAATAATTTCTTGATTGATTCAGTATATCCCTCCCATTTATAAATGCATTAATAAATTAATCACTTATGCACTTATTATACATATGAAATTATGCATATGAATTATGCAAATGAAAAAGCATTGCTTATGTACTATGAATTAGCACTGTGTTAAGCACTGGAGATACAAATAGAGGGGAAAAAGAGACCAAGACAGTCCCTATTCTCAAGGAACTCACATTCTAATGGAAAGAGAGAACACATGAGTAAAAGTTTAACTCCAGGATGGACAGAAAGGCCCAGAAGTCCTAAAAAGGGGGAAGATGGCAAGATGGTAAATGGTAAGGACTGGAAGCCCTTAGACTATATAAATCAGACGTCGGCATCAGGGCTCAGAGAGAACATAGAGGCGAGGAGGGCAGCAAGGCCTGGAGGACTTTAGGAGGTAGTAGCAAGGAAGATGGTAAGGCTTGGTGGTCCTTGATGTCACTAAAGGGAATAGAGTCAACCATCATCTTATCCAAACCATGTGAGCAGTCAAGCAGTTCAGATGGCTTCTGGGCAGTCCCTATCAGGATAGATAGCAAAGGAGGAAGGCAAGAGGTGCTCTCAGGGTTGGTAGGTCTTCCCATCACCCAGCAATCCTGGTGTTGGAGGGTCATGTTGCTACCCCGTCATTCTGGATGGTGTTGAAAAAGTTCTTATTTGAACAGAAATCCAGTTTCCTTGAACTTCTGCCCCATGATTCTAGTTTTGTCCTCTGAGTCATAGGTTAACTCTACTCCCTATTTTAACACAGCATTCTTCAATTATATAAAGACATCTCTTATTTCTCCCATCTTCCATCTCTTCCTTAGGCTCAGCATCTCTTAATCTCAGTTTCATCATCAAACCTGCCCTGCCTTGGTTTCAGGACCAATATTGGAGATGAAATATGGTAATTGTCATTTGCCTCTTTTTGTATCCTCAGTGCTTGGCACAGTGCCCAGAACATAGTAGGCATTTAATAAATGTTTATTAGAAGAGCTTTGAGAAAACGAGAAGCACTCTACAAATTCAATATAATACTATACCAATAATAGAGGCAATATTGCATAGTGGATAGAGCACTGGACTTGGAATCAGGAAGACCTGAGTTCTAGTATTGCCTCAGACACTTACTAGTTATGAGACCCAGCTCAAATCATTTCACCTCTTTCAGCCTCTCAGTTTTCTTGTCTCTAAAATGGGAGTAATAACGACATCTGCATTGCAGGGTTGTTGTGAGGATCAAATAAGAAAAGATATGGAGAACTCTTTGTAAACCTTGAAGTGCTATATAAATGTAACTGTTATTTCTAGCTTATGACCTTGGGCAAGGCCCTCAACCTTTATATATTTTAAGCAAATCTCTAAGTTGCTTACTTACATTTTTAAAACATTTGCTCATTGGAGAAGGGGGTTATTGGAAGGGCAGATTAGTGAAAATAAAATAAAAAATAAAAAAATTAATAAAAAACACTTGGTTTTTGGAAAAATAAAAATAATAAACTAAAAAGAGGGGATTGGATTTAATGGCCTCTGAGGTCCCTTATGTCTCTATTTCTATCGTCTTCTGCTTTCCTGCTTTGTTCTAGTTTTTGTTTCTCTGTCTTTTCATGACCCTCCCCTCACTGCCTTGCAGTCACTGATAAAGAGGCTAAGACTCTAGAGAAAAGCTAGATGGGATGACTGGGGCAAGTCCAAGTTGATGGAGCACAGATTTAGAGGTATAAGGGACCTTTGAGTTCTTCCAGATCAACTCCCTCATTTTACAGAAAGGGAAACTGAGACTCAGAAAAGTTAAGGACTTTGCCCAAATCCAGCCAATTAGTAAGTGTCAGAGGTAGGATTTGAACCCGGGCTCTTTGACTACAAATCTAGGCTTCCATCCATAAGGCTGGACAGAAACCCTTCTCTATTGGATCTGAAATTCAATACTGTTTTGTCACCCCACTCTTTCCATGAGCTGCCCAAAGGGGAAATTGGCCTTCTCTACTTAGCTGTCTGCTTCTTCATCAGCAGAAGGGAAACACTGTAGGGAAAGTTCCTAATTAAAACTTGGCCTATCAAAATTTCATCCCAGGGTTGATGTCTAGAATACTTTGCCTCTAATGCCTCTGAGAACAGAACAGAAACAAGCCATGGCCATTTGTAGCCATCTTTGGCCCCATTCATGGTCCTCTCATTCATTTCTGTTGAAGTATGGCAAACCTCTCTTTTCTGTAAGTTGAACTTTGCCTCAAATATTTACTTGGGCTTGTTTATCTGTTGTAAGTTGCTGGGATGCCAAACATACCCAAACTGTTGTGACTGATGGCATGAAGATTTTCTATTCTCATTTATATGCTCTGATGTTCTTGGATATAATATTTCTCATTAAGGCATCTCCCACTCATCTATACAATCACTTAGATTGCTTCTATAAAGGGATATGCTGAGCCAGGGACACAATCAACATTTCCCAGGGTAATCAGTGATTTCAAAGCAGTGATAGGGAAAAGGGAAGGGACATGAAAAGACAGAGAAACAATAACTAGAATGAAGTAAGAAAGCAGAGGATCATAGAAATAGAGCCATAAGGGTCCTCAGGGGCCATCAAGGCCAACCCCCTCGGGGTTTTTTTTTTGTTTTATTATTTTTATTTTTCTAACAACAAATATTTTTCATTAATCTGCTCCTTCTATTAACCCTTTTCCCCATTGAGCAAATGTTAAAAAAAAAATCTCTGCATACATATTTACATAGTCTGATGAAACAAATTCCCTCCCATGTCTGAGAATGTTATGTCTTTTCCTTCATATTAAGTTCATTATCTCTCTATCTGGAGGTGATTAGCATGTTTTATCTTCATTATTCCTGTCTACCTTTCTTCCTGTTATCCTACCTGTACCTCTCAGCCTTCTTTCCTAGATCTTGATCCCCTCATTTTACAGATGAAGGAGTTGAAGCCCAGGGAAGTTCACTGAATTGCCCAAGGTCATACGGGTAAGTAAACATCATAGGTGGGATTTGAATCAGGTCCTCTGACTCCATAGCCAGGCAGCAGTATGAGGAAGGGAATAAATATTTATATTGTGCCAGGCACTGTGCTGAGGGTTTTTACAAATATTATCTCATTTGATCCTCACAACTTTGGGATGTAGATGCTCTTATTATTCCCATTCTAGAGTTGGGGAAACCAGAGGTTAAGTGACCTGCCCAGAGTCACACAGCTAGCAAGTATCTGAGGCTGGATTTAAAATCAGGTCTTCATGACTCCAGACCCAGCACTCTAGTCACCACCAATAGCAGCCACTAGAGGAGGTAGCACATACTGGCCACGAATATTTACTTAATTGGCTTGACATAGGTTTTTGAACCAAGAGGAAAGAAACCTGAATTCTTCATTGGGGAAGGGGCATCTGAGCTGTACTTTGAAAGATAGAAAGGATTTTAATAGCTGGAGATGGAAGTGTGCAGTACAGGTCATCTCAGCCAAAATCTTTGAACTGACTTGGATTTTCGAAGACTTTCAGTAACAGCCAATTTGATAATTACAGATCACTTTTTTTTTTTTTTGGTGAGGCAATTGGGGTTAAGTGACTTGCTCAGAGTCACACACAGCTAGTAAGTGTTATGTATCTGAGGCCATATTAGAACTCAGGTCCTCCTGACTCCAGGGCCAGTGCCACCTAGCTGCCCCATGTAGTTCACTTTCATGTATCACTTTATAGCTGAAAAAATGCTTTCCTCACATCAACTCTGTAAAGGAGATAGGGTAAGTGTGTCTCTTTTTAAAACGAGAAAAATGAGATGGAGAGATCAAACTGTTTGCCCAAGGTCACAGACCAAAAAGGCTGAGATGTCTTCACGTCCCCTCGGTACTCTTCCCATCACACTGTGTTTCCTTTTATCTTCAGTTTAATTCAATTCAACAAACATTTATAAAATGCCTACTATGCATGGGGCATTGCAATCAATGGCAAGGAGACAAAGATAAAAAATTATATGATTCATGCCTTCAGAGGACTTACAGTTTTGCAGAGGGATAAAACTTTCTTCAATACTTTGTTTCTCCTTTTTTAGCTTGGAGATAGAGGGAAGCTAGCAATAGGGTTGCTCCAAAAAGAAGAAGAAGAAGAAGAAGAAGAAGAAGAAGAAGAAGAAGAAGAAGAAAAGAAGAAGAAAAGAAAGAAAAGAGGGTCATTGACTGTTTCTCTTCCACCCATTTTAGGATGGAAGGAATTTCAGAAGGAAACAAGAAGACAGCTTTTAAAATAGCGTGTTGAATTTACTCTGTCCTTTTAAAAAATCAATATGGACATAAAAGCCTGTTGGAGTTCCATATATTCCTTGGTTTTTAGTTCTACTTAGTGAATGGAAATGTTCTTTTTTACTGGTTTTTGTTCGATTCAGAATAAAAAAAGAAAAGAATTAATAGAATTCAATTGAATTTCAGGAGTGCAATTAGTAGCCTACAAATATAGCAGATGTGGGATGAACATGGTGAATAATGGAGGGTTAAGAGGTGATGCTATCTGATGGTTTGTTTTATACCAAATAAAATTGGAAGTATAAAGCATGTGAATGTGCCTCACTCTACTCAAAAGATATGCCTTTAAAAATCATGTGTATATTAATTCTGAGTTCAATTTCAAATCTCATTTTCAATACAATGCAGAGCTTTTTATTTAAATGAAGCACTGAAAGGAATACTTTTGTAATGCAAATAATGTCCTCATTGTGTTTCATATTTTGGAATATCTGCGTTTTTTTTCCAAAGCAGGGATCTAATAAAATGCAAATTTAATAGCTGACTGACCTTTAAATCTGGTTTTGTTTGTGGTTTAAAAATGCAGTTTCATTGAAATTTTGCAGGTTTCTAATGTCCTATGATTTGATATTCCTTTTCAGGCTCAATCCAGAAGGGATTTGGCACATAAAGATCACCGAGATAAAAAAGTAGGAGAGCTAAATAGCAGCTATCACCCAGTTGGGTTCAGCATATGTATTTATTTCTTCAAATTGTATTATCCCTCTTTCAAGCTGTAGTGAAATCTCCTTTTTTGCAAACTTTTAAAGTTCCTATAGTTTCTAGGATATCCTCTTTGTTCCCTCAGCTGAAAATGGTATGAGAAATCTTTTCTTGGTGTGTCTCTTCCCTCTTAATGTAATTTCAGCTAGTACCCAGCAGTGAAGTGCCTGCACCATCTACTGAAAAGGAAAGCTTAAACAAAGTATTCTTGAATGATCTCAACCAACTTGCAGAGAGCCGAGCAGAGAACAGCTGCTTTCTTTGGTGTCTTTCGTGGGATGGGCCAAAACAATAAACATTTATTTATGTGTCTATTGTGTGCCAGGTGTTGTGCTAGGAACTGGAGACACAAAGGCAAAAATGAGATAATTCCTGCCCTCGGGGAGCTTACCTTCTAAAGGGGGAAGGGTGACAACAAATACATATACAAGTACTTAGAGTACAAAATAAAGACGATTCGTTAGGTGGTACAGTGGATAGAGTGCCAGGCCTGAGGTCAGAAATAACTCATCTTACTGAGCTCAAATCTGGCCTCAAACATTTACTAGCTGTGTGATCCTGGCTAAGTCACTTAACCTTTTTGCCTCAGTTCCTCATCTGTAAAACAAGCTGGAGAAGGAAATGGCAAACCACTCCATTATCTTTGCCAAAATAAATAAATAAATAAATAAATAAATAAATAAATAAATAAAATAAAAAAACCCAAAATGAGGTGACAAAGAGTCAGTCTGTTAAAATACTTAACTTGAGGGGCAGCTAGGTGGCGCAGTGGATAGAGCACCTTCCCTGAAGTCAGGAGGACCTGAGTTCAAATTTTGCCTCAGACCAAACACTTGATACTTACTGTGTGACCCTGGGCAAGTCACTTAACCCCAATTGCCTAAAAATGAAATAAAATAAAATACTTACTTGAGTTTCTCCCAGGTCTCTTCACCAAATTTCTCAATCACTAGAGATTGCAGGCAGGTGTTGATAAATCCATACTAGAAGAGAAACCAAGAAAAGGATGTATAATGAGGCATGAAAAACCCATTTATAGACAACTTAATGGTTTCTCTTAGGGAAGTGAAATGACATCCGCTTTGGGAAACTAATTATACCTTTTCCTTGTTTCCAGTGAGTTTATTTGTTTAATAGCTGTACTGGGACCCAGCTTAATGCAGACCTTGCAGCCTATGAGTAGTTTTGTTTCCATAGAGAATTTAGATTAACTAAATTTGAAACCAAATTATAATTATAGAAGGGTAGGAAGAGGCATTCCATGGTTGATTAGATTCCTCTTGGAAATGGTAGTATTGGCCTGGTTTAAACAGTAAGTCCAAATTAGTTGGAGGAGAGGATGAGGTGGGCATATGCATATGTGTTTAGATGATCTAGAAAGCAGAGAGAAAACAAACATTTGCCCTTCTAAAAATTGAATGATAGTTTGGGGAGAGAAGGAGCAAACAGTAGAAAGGAGAACAAAGAAGACCACCAGGGCTGGTTCAAAGAGAGCTTATTTGCCAGGTCTGCTTTTGAACCAGGATCACCTTTCATAATTATTCATTTTTATGCCCCTGCTGCTACATCAGGGGGAAAAAATAAAGACAGCAGAGTCAGATGTTATGAGCATTTGGCAGATATGCCTCACTTTTCACAGGCATTCCTAAATGTGCAGAAATAGAATTTTGGTAAATCAAACTCTACAGTATTTTAAATAAGCATTGGGAACTTATCACAGGATCTGAGGTTTAGAGTTAGAAGGGATCTTAAAGGACATGAGTCCAACCTCATTCATTTTACAAATAAGGAAACTTAGGTCTAAGAAAGTTAAGTGACTTGACTAGGGTCACATAACCAGTAAGTGGTGGAGGTGGGATATAAATCCAAGTCTTCCTAACTCTCACTCTTGCCCTCTCTAGCCACTACTCCATACTACTTGATATTTCAAACACTTTTCCCTTCCCTCACCTCTTCTCCTCCCCACAAATGAATACTTTCAACAAGGGAAGAATATTTTTGTCATATAAAAAAATGCCTAGTCATTTATCTGTTTTGTAAGATTGAATTTTTCTATATGGATATGGGGGACACACTTGTTTTCAAGGAAGAGAGAAGAGCACCCTGAATTAAACATTTTGTGGGGTAAAAATTTTGCTAACTTTCCCATTTATCCTCTACATGCACCGCCATATCCCCTTCCTCCATTCCACAGCCTTTAGTATTCCTGGTTGTATAGGCCCAACAACTCTGTAAGGAGTGAAGATACAACAACTGCTTTTTCCACTCTCAAGAACTGGACACAGGGGCAGCTTAGATGGTGCACCAGATAGAGCACCAGTCCTGGAGTCAAGAGGGCCTGAGTTCAATCCAGCCTTAGACCCTTACTAGTTGTGTGACCCTGAGCAAGTCACTGAAACCCAATTGTCTCAAAAAAACTGGACACAGGATTTGACAAAAGATATTCTTTTTGAAAAGCCTCATTAAGGGGCAGCTAGGTGGCACAGTGGATAGAGCACTGGCCCTGGTGTCAGGAGGACATGATTTCAAATCTAGTCTCAGACACTTAATAGCAGCATGATCCTAGGCAAGTCACTAACCCCCTATTGCCTCCAAAAAAGAAAAAAAAAGAAAAGAAAAGCCTCATTAAAAGTATACTTTCTTGAAATATGAAAGATGTTGACATGGACCCATTACTGTGCATCTCACTCCCATGGCTAGGCTCTGGGGTCTCTCCTTCACTTGTGAAGAATGCTGAGGGCTCAGGCACTTCACACCGGCTAGGGCATTGTCACCACCATCCCCAGAATTGTTGTCATTCCCTTTTAGGAGTCACACTAGCACTCTGCGCCTCAGCTCAAAGAACCAGTAGAGGCGTTCTTCACCTTGGTGCAGTCAGTTTCCATTCTCTCTGTTGGCTCAGTCGCTGCTCACCCTAGGGCCAAATCCAACACTCCCTTCTCTTCATCCCCACGGAGACAAACGACTCGGTGGATTCATCAACACCTTTTCAGCTTCCACCCACTTATGGCCATGCCCCTGTCTACTCGAATTTGTGTAGTGGTCTGAGGATGGCTTCAGACTCAAGAAAGCCTTGGTCCAAATCCTATCTCTCTGACACAAAACTGGCTGTAGGACCATGGGCACATCATTTAACCACCCCCTCAGTACACCAGACAGCCCTCTAAGACTATAATTTACAGATAAATTTCTCATCTTCAACAGTTGGGGGAGAAGGAGACCTTCCATACTAGAGTTTCCCATAGGTGGGAATGAAATCATAGGTCCAAATCACACCCCCCCCTCTCCCCCCAAAATGTATCAAGCTTTGGAAGGAACACAAAGATAGATGAAACATTGCCTTTGCCTTCAAGTAGCTGGAGACATTTAATACATGCAAAAAAAACATAATATAGAGAATTTGTATTACTCTGTATGTTCCTCAGTGAATGGAGAGAAGTATGATGGGAGTTCAGAGAAAGAGACATCCTCTCTGGAAAGTAGAAATCAGGAGAGGCTTCAAGGAGGAAGTTGTGTTTACTCTAAGTTTTGAAGAATGATTGGAGCGTTAATCATTGAAAATGGATTGTGAGTGGGGAGCTTAGAAGAGAGAGGATCAGGGAGAAGGAATGGTATAAACAAGAGCCCCAAGGCAAGATGTGTTCTGGGAATGACTAGTGGGTCAGTTGGATTGAACTACACAACATGGAGTATTGTGGATATGGGAATAACATAAGATAAAACTGGAAAGGCAAATTGGGGCCAAGTCATGGAAGGCCTTATTCTGCAGGCAATGTAAAACTATTGAAAGTGTTTGAAAAGTGGGATGTTGGGGCAGCTAGGTGGCGAAGTAGATAGAGCACTGGCCCTGAAGTCAGGAGGACCTAAGTTCAAATCCAGCCTCAGACACATAATATTTCCTAGTTGTGTGACTCAGGGCAAGTCACTTAACCCCAATTGCCTCACTTAAAAAAAAAAATTTGATGGTAGATTATTTTCCCATTAACATAAAGAAGCCAGTCCCTGGATCATAGGAATATGGGCAGCTAGGTGGCACCATAGTACATACAGTGCTGGGTCTAGGGTCAGGAAGACTCATCTTTGTGAGTTCAAATCTAGCCTCAGACACTTACTAGCTGTGTGACTCTGGGCAAGTCATTTAACCCTGTTTGTCTCAGTTTCCTCATCTGTAAAATGAGCTGGAGAAGCAAAAGGCAAACTACTCCAGTATCTCTGCCAAGAAAACTCCAAATGGGGTCATGGAGAGTCAGACACTTCTGAAAATCACTGAACAAGGTCTGAGTAAGGTATAAGAAGACTGGAAAGAGAGGAAGGGGCTTTAAAAGCCAGACTGGTCCTAGAGGTAGTAAGGAGCCACTGAATTATATTAAATACAGTAATATTTAATTACTTTGCTCTTTGTTCTAAGCCCTTCCTGGTGTCACTATTTCAATATAATTGGTTTCCTTAATCCTAAGGGATTTTATTTCATGTATTTAAGAACCATATTCTAGGAAGAAGTCCACAGGCTTCACCAGACTACTAGTGACAAAGGGGTGGGGGGAGAGGGGTTTAAATATGAGAGGTGGGCTATGAACCCAGTTCTTCCTGATCCAGTTCTCTACCCACTAAACCACACTGACTATGAAAGGGGCTGAATGTAAGGGGGAGGGAGGAGTTGAAGATATCTGACATTTTTTCAACTGAGTGACCTCTAAACTGAGTAGCTACTATCCAGAAAATAGGACTTTCAAGAAATTTAGAGTTTTTACCTGAAAAAGCATTGGAACATGGTGAGGAAGGGGAGGAGAAGAGATTTATTTGTAATTTACAGCTTCAGAGAGTTGCCACACTGAGAGCTTAAGTGATTTAGTATCATAGAATTGTAAGAAGGGGCCTGAGAGGTGATGAAGTCTAACCCTCTCATTTTATGGATGAGAAACTGAGGGCCAGAGAGGGTAAGTGATTTGCCCAGAGTCACATAGCTAGTAAGTGTCGGAGGTAGAATTTGAACCCAGATGTTTCTGTCTCTGAATCTAGCCCTCTATCCACTATACCATTCCCAAGCTTCTTTGTCCAGATTAGAAAGTAGTACGGGGCAGATACCTGACCGCCAATCCTGGACCCTGTTCCAAAACCTGTCCTCTCTCCACTACTCCAGGCCACGTCTCTGAAAGGGGCCAAAAGAGGTAACATAAGGAGTGGGAGAACCATCGGTGTCTCAGGCCCTGAACTTTGCAGATGTTTTCTGGGTAATAGTTTTTCCTTGACTTTAAAAGCCCTATTCCCTTGAAACCGGGAAGTTGTCTACAAGACACTTTAATTTTTCAAAGTAAAATCAAGTCAACAAACATTTATTAAGTAAGCAATCAATCAATAAACATTTATTAAGCACCTCCTATGTGCCAGGCACCTTGCTAAGAGCTGGAAAACCTTTACTATCTTCTAGGCATGGTGCTGAACCATGTATAGTATAATTATAAATTTTATATATATATATATATATATATAGTGTAACTTATAAAATACATAGTTTATACATATATAATATATGAATAAGACACATAATAAATAAGAGATTTCAATGTTTGGGTGAAACTTAAACTGAACAAAAGGCATTCTCCCCTCTAGACCACTCTCACTTCCTCCAAAGTCCCTCACCACATCACAGATTCTAATAAATTCCACACTCTACCTTCCTACTGGAAAATGTCTCTAGAATTCAGAGATTCTTAACCTTTTTTGTGTCATTTCTTCTCCCCCCCCCCCCCCCCTCCCCCCCCCCCCCCCCCCCCCATAGTAGTCTGGTGAAGCCTGTGGACTTCTTCTTAGAATATGGTTCTTAAATACATGAAATAAAATCCCTTAGGATTAAGGAAACCAATTATATTGAAATAGTGACTCTAGGAAGGGCTTAGAACAAAGTGCAAAATAGAGTTTACATTTATTAGAAAGTTCCTAGAAGTATGAAGAAGAAATATCATATCAAAAAAAGAAATATATATGTGTATCTGTATATACAGATACACATACATATGTGTTCTATACATATATGCATATACACATACAATATGTAAATGCACGCATACACCTATCTATGCATGCATGGATGCATGCATACATACATACACACATACATACATATATTCACGGCCCCCAGGCTAAGGATCCTGCAGTCTAGATAGAACTTAGTCATACCCCATCTGAGGAAGAAGCCTGAGGGAAAGACCAGACTAGAAGAGCTGATTACCATGGTGGCTGCTGCTCCTGCTGCTGCCGATACTGATGCCAGTTTTCACTGCTCACTACTTGGGCACGAAATGATAGATTTTCCTCGTCCTCCTCCAACATTTAGCATACCACCCATGAGAATCCTTTCCAGCACCTCAACTCTGGATGCCTACTGCCTATCAAGGGAAAATGGCCACAGTCCATAGGGAAATTAGAAACAGATCGCTTTGTTGTACCCAACCTCTCTCCGCGTGGAGGCCTAACTTAGCTCTTCTCAACCACCCAGAGAAACACTGGGAGGTCAAAAGGGCTTTGCTTATGAGGGGGTGAAAATGAATGTGACTTATTGCATAATTAGCCCGAAGGGGCTGCTTTCCTGGTAGCTAAGACTCATGAGAGTTTCAGGTTGAAACCTGAAGAATCATTCCTTGGGGTGAACCCAACTGGCAAAGCCTCTAATAGGCTTCATTCTCCCCACACAGACCCTCCCTCTAACAACTCTGGCTGAAAATAAATTGGAAGCAAGGCTTATATTCATGAAAAAAGGGGCAAGTATGCTTTCTGATTGTGGGGGAAGCCTGTAGTTAGCAAAAGGTGGAAGGAAAATTAAAGGTCATCTAGTCCAATCACTTCATTTTACAAATAAGGAAACAAAAGCCCAGTTTCCTTCCTCAAGGGTGCACAAAGTAGGGATTAGAATCCAGGACCAGATCCAGGGCTCTTTCCTCAAACCACAAGTACTTCCCTTGTTAAGGCAACCCTATGTGCACGGTGCATTGGCAGCTCTTAATAAAGTCAGTTAGATAGATGTAGCCCCTGTCCTTTCAAGATTTAGAATCTCTCTTCTCAGAGGACCAGAAAAATGAGGTCATTTATCCAAGATTCCACATGTGTTGCTGTTGTTTAGTTGTTTTCAGTTGTGGCCCCATTTGGGATTTTCTTGGCAAAGATACTAAAGTGATTTGCCATTTCCTTCTCTGGCTCGTTGTACAGATGAGGAAACTGAGGCAAACAGGGTTAAGTGACTTATCCAGGGTCACACAGCTAGTAAGTATCTGAGACCAGATTTGAACTCTGGAAGATGAGTCTTCCTAACTCCAGGACCCTCAAGTCCAGGTTGTTGATTCTCAGTGTGTAGTGTTCCCCCAAGGAATTATTAATTATCTTAGTTATTCCCCTCCATTTAAACCTGAGGCTGGAGGACCTAAACCTGGGAGTGTAAGTGCTGTGGGTTCATTTAGTTAGTGTTTTTGCACACTCACTCTTTGCAAGGCATTGTAGGAAATGCAGAGATAGAAGACCCTTCCCTCAAAGAGTTCACAGTCTGGTGAGTGCATGGTCTTAGTTCAATTACTTACTAGTAGTAAAGGTAATTGATGTCTATAATGTAGAGATGCCTTGGCTGAGACTACCATATAGTGAATATGGAGATCCCCATTCTAGAAAGAAGGCAAAAACAAAACAAAACAAAGTCTGGAGTGGTCATTATGTACTATTTCTCATACTTCAAGAGTTAAACTCCCATTCAGGGGACCCAAGAAGGCTTTTGCCTCATAATGAATCCTACTTTTTAGTCTTATCAAGTGGTCTCTCTTGTCCATAATGCCTTTCATTAACCCATTTTAAGGGCAGACACTAGTGGGTTATTTCCGATGGTATATTATTTTCCTCTTTACTACTCTCATCTCTTCCGGCTCCCTCTCCCATCTGTTTCTTCCCAGTTCTCTTTCTGCCTATCAGTTCAGATCTCTTCCCCACTCCATTTCTCAGAAGCCAGTCTTGGAACTCCTGGGTACCTTTGTGTTACCAGCCCATTTTATTTGGATCCTCAAAGTTGATCCATGAGGGAAGGAGCAAGCTGACTCTCCAACACTAGTGTGGTGGCTGGGCCCCGTCCTTTTTGGATGAATTGAGCCTGCTGTGCTTCCAAAGTGGAGAGCCTGCTTGGTCTCAGACATCAGGCAGTGTGTGCTATTTGTTACTCTGTAGGAGGAACATGTGGTCAGGGAGAGAAAAAAGGCACTGGAATAGGTGATTTCCATAATTATGCTTCCCAGTCCTTTGCAGTCACTCAACTGACATTATGTCTTTTGCTGCCAAGTGCTTGCTCTCTCTCCTTGAACACACACGCACACACACACTCACATTGCACAATAAATGGACGCTAAAAATCCCCATTTTCTTTCCCGTGCAGCAGATGGCAGGTCTCAGCAACTCAGTGGAAATTAAGCTTTTGGATTTTCTAATAAATTTAAGCATCACACACACACAAAAAAGCCTAGCTAATTTTGATTCTAATGTTAAGTACCAGATGGCTTATCACTCTTAGAACCCAGCAGCTCTGTGAAAGTGCTCCATACCCAGGGCAAAATGGCCGGGAAGATGTCCCACAGAACACTCACTTTGAATTTTTAACAACCAGTTGGATTCTTTAGTGAATATCATTTGTTAATAATATTGCATAAGGTAATCTAGTAAACACCTCTTGTCAACTGAGTGTGTCCATCTACTTTGCCAGTTTGCTAATTACATCTGTTATACAACCAACTCACTTCAACAGACTGTTTACCTCTATGAACATACTCTCTCCACCAGACCTAATTGCTATCTCTGCAGAAACCTATGGTTTCATGAGTTGCTGCGGCAAAAAAAAAAAAAAAAAGATTCACATAGTAGACAGCCTTCTGAGATGATCCTTTTTGAACTTAGCCAGGCTGGTCCTCAGTCTGTCATCAGGATTATTGAAGATTTTGCAGTTTGATAAAACTTGTCATAGCTTTTCCTTCACTGGGATAGCCTTGGACATCTCAGATTCACCCCCACATTATGGTGAAAGAAAAGAGTAGGACTTCACCTATGGACCCCATAAACTACTTCTCACAACTGCCTTATAAACATTTTTCATATCCTGATCTGGATTTGAAGAAACATTCATAACTGATTGAACTTAGCCCTTTTTTAGTCTATATATTTACATTTTGCAGACACCGTCTTTAGCGGGGTGGGGGAAATGGGGTGTGCTTTCTTTAGATACAAGCCCCTCTTCCCTTCCAGCATGTTATCAAGTCTTCCTGTTCTCATTCTTTCAAAGAATATTTTTTCACAGCCTCCTTTTGACTCTCTTCACAGAAAGTGAAATTTATTGTTTGAATCTCTTTCCTTAATCTATGTATATATACATATGCATATATGTATATATCTTCTGATTTAAATCTACCATACTTAGTATCATAGATATACTATAAAAAGGATCAATGAGACAATGTAGTCTACTACACCCATTTTACAGAGAAGAAAACTGAGGCCCAGGCAAGTAATATATCTTCACCCAAATGATGTATCAAAGGTAGGGTTTGAATGCAGGTGCTCTGAATCCAGAGGCTGAGTTTTTCACACTGTACCATGATGTTCCTCCGACGTGATATGCATCAAATGCAGTAAAAGGCACCTCTTGTCTCCCATGGAAGACGTTATTTGAGTAGAAATTCTTTTTAATTTTCTGTGGAATGAGGAGTCAAAAACTCCCTCCTGGACATGTCCAGCCATGCATGCTGTCTGCTGTCTCTACTCTACTCCACTGGGGCCATCGTCGATACTACCTTCCCACCAGATAATCAGACTCTGCCCCTGGAACCTTCTTGGGCTTTGAAATACCGGATTTGATCTAATCTTGTTGGTTTCAGGCCTCCACAGCTCTTCTTCCCAGACAGCTCCAGCCATTAACCCCACTTCCTTTCCAGTTCCCCACTGAGTATTATCTTTCCCTATTAGATTGTAAGCTACTTGAGGACAGTAATTGTCTCGCTTTTATTTATATCCTCAATACTTAGCACAGAGTTTGGCACATAGTAAGGGCTTTATAAATGTTCTGTCTGTCTGTCTATCAATCTATGTCTAAAAGCATGAGATACCAAAACGAGATTGCCAAGATAAATGTCCCCTGGTTTGAAAGAAAAAACTGAAACGAGAAAAATGTAAGAAAT